TAGAGAGAGAGAGAGAGAGAGAGAGAGACAGAATTCCAAGCAGGTTCTGCACTGCCAGAGCAGAGCCCAGTGCAGGACTGGAACTCACAAGCCATGAGATCATGACCTAAGCTAAAATCAAGAGTCAGACACTTAACCAACTGAGCCATCCAGGTGCCCCAAGTATGCAACTCTTGATCTCAAGGTCGTGAGTTCAAGCTCCATGATGGGTGTGGAGAATGGATGAATGAATAAATAAATAAATAAGATTGGTTTATTTCCATAAGCATGAATCTCCTTTTATATATACTTGATAATTGATAGTGGAGCAATGGTGGGATCTCAGTGAAAATTCCTAGAATGTTTTGTTAGTGAGAACACTATTTTTCTTTTTTTTTTTTTTAAGTTTTTACATTTTATTTTATTTTATTTTATTTTTTTTAACGTTTTTTTTATTTTTGGGACAGAGAGAGACAGAGCATGAATGGGGGAGGGGCAGAGAGAGAGGGAGCACAGAATCGGAAACAGGCTCCAGGCTCTGAGCCATCAGCCCAGAGCCCGACGCGGGGCTCGAACTCACGGACCGTGAGATCATGACCTGGCTGAAGTCGGACGCTTAACCGACTGCGCCACCCAGGCGCCCCCACTATTTTTCTTTTTAATGTTTATTTATATTTGAGAGAGATAGTACGTGAATGGGGAGGGGCAGAGAGAGACAGAAAGAGAATCTGAAACAGGTTCGAGGCTCTCATCTGTCAGCACAGACCTGATGCAGGGCTCGAATTCACGAGCTGTGAGATCATGACGTGAGCCGAAGTTGGATACTTCACCGACTGAGCCACCCAGGTGCCCCTATAACACTATTTTTCAATCATAGTTAGATAATAGAGTTTATGACATGTTCAGATTGTGAGTATGATTTGTTTTATTGTCAGGAGGGGTGGTTTTTGTTTGTTTTTAAATGTTTATTTATTTTGAGAGAAAGTGCATGTGTTAGCAGGGGAGGGGCAGAGAGAGGTAGGGAGAGCATCCCAAGCAGACTCGGCGCTGTCAGCACAGAGCCTGACGTGGGGCTCGGTCCCATGAACCGTGAGATCGTTACCTGAGCCGAAATTAAGAGTTGGACTTTGACTGAGCCACCTCCTGAGAGGGGTGTTTTAATAGTTAAAATTTTTTTACTTTTAATCAAGTTTGATCTTCATTGATTAGAAAACTTCTTACCTGATTTGGAGGAAATGTATTTCTTTTCTGTTTAAAGGTGAAGTGGATCCTAAAGAGAGGATAGCACGCCAACGGAAACTATTACAAAAGAAACTTGGTCTTAATATGGGAGAAGCCATTGGAATGAGTACTGAAGAACTCTTCAATGATGAAGATCTGGATTATACTCCAACTTCAACAGCCCTTATAAACAAACAACCTGTAGGTAAAATCTTTGGTTATTTGACTGCAAGTAATACAAGCGTTTTGCTTCATCTTGCCATGTTATTGCAATGAAAAAAAAAATGCTGTTGCTCATTGCGGCTTGTCCCACCATAATTTAGTATTTAGTGTCTTCATAAATTGGATTTCTGGTAACAGATCCTAAAGAGATAGAAGTTCAGCCTACCTTATAAACTCTGGATTGACTGTCAGATAAACGCTGTGGTGGGCCTTTTGGAGCCACTGCTATTGAGAGATCCCAGTTGCACCAATTGCTTTTTCCTTTGTTCTTCAGTGGAAAAAAAAAAAAAAAAAAGAGTAAATGAGAGAGTAGAGGATAGTAAGGGCTAATATGATATTAGAAATCTTTAGAGCAGTGATTTATTATTCTATTTGGCAAAGTAACAGATATGATAAGAAAATTTTCAAACAATGAAAAAAGGTATACAATATGAAGTAAAAAGTTTTTAATAATTGATGGACATGCATGTCCCCATGCCTCACAGGCAACCCTTCATGAATTACTTGTACATGCAGACACAAATATTTGTATTTTAAGCCATATTTATCTTTTCCCATTTCGTGTAGCTGAATATATCAGTAATACAGATTGATCATGTGTTTTTTTGATAGCTTCATTCTCTTTTGTTCTATGGATGTACCATAATTTTGCTCTGTATTTCTCCCTTTTCTCCATTCTTCAAATTCCCATTGGATGCTCGCAAGCTGCTGCTGCTTTTTTAACGTCCCAAACTGCTTAAGCTCCAGTAAAAAAGCTGTGGCTCTCTCCTAAGAAAAATTCACATGCAACTGAAATATTAACATTCAAGGGGGTTGGTATTCTTTCCTCTTGCCACTGCAGTATCTTTTTAGAGTTTCCTGGTCCTTATTAAGAATTCCTGCTTTGCAGTCATGAAACCCTTATCTTGTCTTTCTTTTGGCCTTTTCCTTTATACTGGTTCTCTAAACCTTCAGAATTTTCAAACCTTTCTTTAGGGTTAATGGAGTATGTGTTGATGAATAACTTTTGCAGACAAAAAAAAAAAAGAACATTCCTGAGGAAAAAAGAAGAGTATAAAGAGGCAGAAAATATGACAACTATAAAGAAACAGAAAGAAATGAGGTGCAAAGAGAAGCATGAGGTGTAAATAAAAAATAAAAATAGAATAAAGGAGAACAAAAATGTAGTAATGTGATTATAGTGTGGTTATTGTGTATGGTATAAGAAAAAAGATGAGCCAAGTATATTAGAGAAGATAGGGTATGGACAGAATAGTTGTATGTAGGATGGGCAGCAGAGACTTTGAGGTTTGTGAGATCCAAGTTGGGTTGGCCTTACATGTCATGGACCTTTGGGAGGAGGTGCTTAATGTTACTTGTTGCCATAGGTTTATCATTGCTTGTATATGCGCCATTGGTCTCTGGACTAAGACCGTAGCGGGGTATCCATACCAGTGACCCAGATTAGTGGTCAAAGTGAATTTTAGTTGAATCTTAAATCAGTTAAGGGCAGAAAGGATTTTTAGGCTTGAGCTGAAAGCATTTCTGTCTCACAGCCTTTATAATGTCTCCCATGAATGGAAAAGACAGCAAAAACAGTAGATAGTGATGGCTTAAGAGAAAAGGAGCAATATGAGTTAAGTTGACTATAGGATGCTGGATCACTTATGCCTGTAATTTTTTTTCAATAGGTGATATTGAAATTAATTAATATTAATTATTTACTTATTAATATTAATTAATATTCTTTATTCCTACAACTTTAGGGTGGTATTACAGTTTTTTTGTTTTGTTTTTATTTTAAATCCAATATAATTAATATACAGTGTTATTAGTTTTGGGTGTACAATGTATTGATTCAACAATTCTATGTTACTTGGAGTTAAGGTAAGTGTACTCTTAACCTTTTTCACCTGTTTCACCCATTCCTCCACCCACCTCCCCTCTGGTACCATCAATTTGTTCTCTATGATTAAGAGTCTGTTTTTTGGTTTTTCTTTTTCTTTTTTTTGTTTTGTTTCTTAAAGTCCACATATGAGTGAAATCATGGTGATTGTCTTTCTCTGACTTATTTTGCATAGTGTTATACTCTAGATCTATCCAGTTGTTGCAAATCGCAAGATTTTGTTCTTTTTTATGGCTGAGTAATATTCCATTGTATCTGTGTACCACCACATCTTTATTACTGTGGTCATTTTGAAGTATCACCTTTTCAAAACCCTATCTGTGGGTTATGATCATACATTTGTGCTACGTTGGTGACAAAAAAAGTTAAGAAACATACAAACATCTGCTGAGAATTGGAAGAATAGGAAATAAGGAATAAAAGAGTGAAATTATGGTAATAACCATATAACAGAATAGCATGAAGCTGTCAAACTGTGGTCAGTTTGGATATAGTGAAATTTATAGACTTAGTACTGTTCTGAGGCTGTGAGTATTTATTTTAACTTCAAAAGTTCAAACTCAGCATTCTTTTATTCTTTTAGACTCTCCAGGCAGCTGAATTGATTGACTCAGAATTTCGAGCAGGAATGAGCAGTAGACAAAAGAACAAAGCTAAAAGAATGGCCAAGTTATTTGCAAAACAGAGATCCAGAGATGCAGTGGAAACTAATGAAAAGAGGTAGTAATTTTTTTTTTTTTTGCTTATTCATTTAAAACAGTGATGCTTTATAGATTAAATTTGTGTCTGCCTGATTTTTAAAAACATTTGCTGACATTGTCTTTAGCTGTGGAGTACCATTTGGATTGTTTTGCTCAATTGTCAGAGATTATTTATTATTACTAGGGACTAGGACAGCTTCCCCAGAATAATCCACATATGCAGATTTATTTTTCCTTACCAATTATGACCTTTGAATGGGGGCTGAAGATCTTCCGAGGGAAGTGCATTCCAGGCAGAGGGAACAAATGTAAATGCCTTAATCATAGACTGTTCAAGAAACAGAAAGAAAGGCAGTATATCTAGGATGAGTAGACAGAGGTGAGGGTAGGACCGAGTGAAGTCAGAGAGGTGGTCTAAGGGCCACAAGTTTGTTTTTGTTTTTGTTTTTGTTTTAATGTTTATGTTTGAGAGAGAGAGAGAGAGACAGTGTAAGGGGAGAAGGGGCAGAGAGAGGAAGACACAGAATCCGAAGCAGGCTCCAAGTTCTGACCTGTCAGCACAGAGCCTGACATGGGGCTCGAACCCACGAACTGCGAGATCATGACTTGAGCCGAAGTCGGACGCTTAACCAACTGAGCCACCCAGGCGCCCCTAAGGGCCACAAGTTAAGAATATTGATTAGTATAGAACTGTCACAGTGTTACATCATCTGTCTTCTAGCCTGGTGGCTAGACCAAATAGGAGGTAGTAATCCAAGTTTATTTACTTAATCTTGTAGGAAAGAACTCTGGATAAAATCACTGTCCACATTTTTTTTAATGAATTAATAAAAGTGGTATCTGTGTATGGTCTGGAACAGCATTTCTAAAAGAGTGGTTCAAAACAGCCTTGTTCAGAAGCACTTTGAGGGGTGTGTTAAAATGCAGATTTTCATTTTCCTTTAACAGAGCTGAATGGGGCATTCATTAAAATGCCCCATTCAGCTCTGTTAAATCAGAATCTTTTATGGTGTTCTAGAAATGTTTGAGTAATTAAACACATGAAAACTTACAAAGTTTTTTTTGCAGATGACAGGACCTTTTGTTTTTTCCGTTTATAAATATAAAGCTAAAATGTAAGTGTTTTATAGTATTTATTTAAAAACTAGGTGCAAAGGGAGTAAATAATAAACATCTACTCGGTATAAATTTTTACTTGTTAAGTTGTTCAGTATGAAATTTTAATTGAACTTCATTAAACTACAGGGTTTTTTAAGTAAACAACTTATTAGGATTGTATATAGTAACCTAATAGGTTTCTGTTGACTTTATTTGTATAAGCACTTTTACCCAAATATTTGAATATAGAAATAGTAGACTTTATTTTTCAGAGTTTATGATTCATTCATTACACAAATATTTACTGAATACCTTCTGAGTGCTAGATACTGTTCTAAGCCCTTACGATGCATTGGTGAATAAAATAGATAATTTTGCCTTCACGGAGCTTACATTCTGGAGGAAAAAAATGAATAAGGGAGAAGATAAATAAGTAGAGGCATCTGGCTGGCTCAGTTGGTAGAGCATGCAACTCTTGATCTTAGGGTTATAAGTTCAAGCTCCATGTTGGGTGTAGAGATTACTTAAACCTAAAATCTTTTTTTTT